AACATTAAAGAGAAAAATTGTATAAATTGTCAAGAGTAAACCCATATCTACTTACAAAGTTTTATGATTGATTCTGAGTCTTAATTTCTTGACGAAATTGAATTAAATTTAGTTGAACTAAATTTTGATGAACATAAGAAAACGAGAAGAAACTTTCAATTCAAATGCTAATTATTTAATTTCTTTATATAAATGTTTGTTTAATAAATTGTAACAAATGTAATTTTCAATTTTCAATCATTGTAATTTACAATGGAATCTTCTCAAGATATTTATGACATTAAATAAGTAATACTGAATTACTAATAGTAGATTTTCATAATTTTAATAACTAACAATAACAAAACAACAAAAAAACGCTAGAGATATAAAAAAAATTAATTTACTTATCCGATTTAAGCTTAGTAACAGTACATAATAAAATTAATTTGTGAAGTGGCCTATCCAAATATGGCTGGTCTTTTTAACTTTAGCAACTTTGACTAGGGACTTGGCGTCATTGTATACCCCAACTACGCGTCCTAGAGGCTATTTTCCAGGTAGTAAGTTCTCATTTTTTATAAGAACAAGGTCACCAACCTGTTAAGATGTTTGGGAGTTCAACCACTTTGACCTAGACTGCAGAGTGGTAAGGTATTGTGACAACCATTTTAAGAACGAAGTTCTTCATGTCGCGTACTGGGGGGCTGTAATTTTAAAACTGACAGATTTGATTAAACGGAAGTGGCTTACTGGAAGCCTCTTCCTCCTAAGTCTCCCCCCTTACCCCGTCGCCCTCACCGTCAGTTCTTTTCACACTTCCCCTCACTCCACCATACATCTTCCGACCGTGCCGCGCTACTCTCCTACACACCTTTGCCCACCATTCCCCTTCACACTCCCAGGCCATTAATTTTTGAACAAATTTTAATTTTCTCTTCCCACAGTAATTTTTAACTTTGAATTTTTTTGTTCTTAAATTCTAAAAAAAAAAAACACTTTCCTGTAAAGAGATATGAACCCTCGACCTTCTACATACGAGTCGAGTACCTTACCCACTCTGCTACGAACATTGCCGACTATACTGTTTTGGTTTCTTGTACTTATCGTGTGGTTCGTAACTTATTTTTTATTTTCATATGCATTCACTGATAATACATTTAATTGATGGTAAATTATTTATTTAATTATTTATTCAAACGAAGTTCTTCATGTTGCGTGCTTCGGGGGCTGGAATTTTAAAAACGACAGATTTCCATAAAACGGAAGTCGCTTACTAGAAGTCTCTGCCTCCTAAAAAAATTTTTTTTTCTAAATAATAAATTTAAAGAAACAAAAAATTTAATTAGCATAAATATG